TTTTTTCGATTTTTTGTTGTTGGTTTTTGTTTTTGTTTTTGGTTTTAGTTTTGCATTTTTGCTCATTTACAAAGCAAATCACGCGACTGCGAGTTGCCCCCGTCGCAGATGTCGTCAAGAGTTCAGACGGCAAAAACAATGCTAAAAGAAGATTGTTGTTACTGTTGTTGGTGTTGTAGCTGTTGTTGTTGCTGGCTAATTTTAAATGCGCTGATAAGTTGCACAAATATTCTAAGGATGTGTGTCTCGTGGCTGAGCAGTGGAAGGTGGCAGCTGGGCGGTGGGTGTGGGCTCTAGTTTGCTGATGACGTTGATGCTGATGACGATGATGACGATGATGATGATCGCTGCAGCTGCAATGAATGAGAGTGCAGTGGCAGCAGCAGCAGCACGCGACTCATTGCTCAAGAAATCATAGAAGGAAAATACTTTGTAGATCTGTGCAGATCTGGTAGAGCAAAAACTCTCAGTGGAACGTAAGCACAGAACAGAGCTTTAAACTGGTAAAAAGATAATGCATTTATAAGGAGATTCCCACAGATTGAAAGTAGCACAACAGACACATAATACCTCTTAATAAATCTACGCCAAAGCATCAACTGATTTTACTTTACTCTACTTCAACCTGACAAAATGGCTATAAAAAAGCTAAGAAATTGTTCTGTGCAAACTATATAGATATGAAAATATTTGCCATAATTTGCAATCTCTATATATAGAGAGCCCTTTGGCGGCGCTTTTGGCTAACAGTGATGCGCAAGCGGCAGACGGGCGGGCAGTCATGGCAGACTAACTGTTTGTGCTAATTGAATGGCTGGAAAATGTAGCTGAAACCAGAACGAAGCTGCCAATCAAAGGCGATTTCTCGATTGATTTGCATTCATTCCCGCTAATTCCGGCCAAAAACTATAAAAGAAAAAACGGCCAGCTCACACACCCACTCTGCCCCTCTCTCTCTCTCCCTTTCTTCCTCGCTTGCTCTCTCACTCAAACGGAAATGCGCAACAGCCAAAAAAAAAAAAAAAAAAAAAAAAAGCCAGCCCACGAAGCTGTGAAGCGTAGCTGTATCTTATTTGCCTACGCTGCAGCCGCAAATACAACAAAAAAAAAAGTCAAATTAATTAACACACACACAGACAGTCACACACACACACACACCTTGTGCCTTGGCTCTTTTCTAGCTAGAGCTGGCTTCTCCTTGGGCTGGGTGGGCGAGCCGCACAGCCCCAGCGAGCTCGTAACCGAAATTCGACTTCGAATTCGAGCTCGAAAAGAGAAACAACAACAACGACAACAAAAACAGAAAACAAACTCTCTGCTGCAATTTGACACCTTGTGGGCATTAAGTGCTTCCTCTGCCCACACGCGACTCCAGCGAATTGCGACGCAGTCGCTGCCGCTGCCGCTGCTGGCGGCTGGCGGCGATTTGGCGATTGCGGCGAAACTGGCGACGCCTCGTCTCCAAGCCAAAAAAGGCTGCAATTGGGTGCTTTTGTTGCTGTTGTTGTTGTTGCTGTTGTTGTTGTCGCTGCCGGCAACAAATTGGTTGCATTTCGTTTTCGACTGCCTGACATGCAACTGACAGTGACGTCGACGGCTACGCCGACGCCGACGCTGACGCCGGCTGCTGGCTCAATCGTGTTGTTTTTTTGGGTCCCTGTCGCCCGACAGCCACAAATTCAGCCTGAAGAAAGCAACAAAAGCCAAAACTTAAACACTCTAAGCAGCTTAGCGAAAACTAGCTAGTTTTTTTTAAGCTAGCTTTACGGCCAAGATATATAGCTCTAACTCTGTATAAATTACGAGCAAACTTTTGGCTAGTTTTTTCTTTTTGTCAAGCATTGCAACTAAAGGAAAACCTTAGGTAGTTACTTTTTTCACTCAACTGACTTAAAGCTAAATATATAGATATTTTTGGTTAACTTTTTAGCTATATACTTAAGATATATACTCATAGAATGAAGGCTTGAATAGTCTTAGCTGTATAAACTTTCCAAGCCATATTAAATTTTTCTCAACTTTGTTTTTTGTCCTCTCTATATATCTAGCTTCAGATTTCTCCTGACAGCTGTTTTTAGCCCTTTTCTTAGCTTTCTCTGCAGTTATCCCGAGACAAAGTTTAGCTAAAGCAGTTTAGCTGTTTTTTCCTTCTCTGTCTTCAACTTCATATACCGCTATATCTGTCTACCTCTGCTACAACTCCCTCATAACTAAGCCCTGTTTAATTTCGCTTAGCCTTTTTTCAGACCCTATATTATAAAAGCGCGAAAAAAATACTTTCAGCCTAGGCCAGTCACATATTTCCTCTGCAAATGCGGGTATCTTAAGTCAGTTGCGGCTGCGGCTGCTGCTGCTGCAAAAAGGCTAAAAAAAGGCAGATTTGGCGTCTGACAGACGACGCGTCGTGGCTGTTGGCTGTTGGGACTTAACGTGTTTCATTTTTTTTTCAGCTCTTTTATTTTTGTTTTTATTTTGTTTTTGGCTTTTTTTTTCATGTGCTTCGCATTCGTATTCGTTTTTCGTTAAAGATCATGGATATGTTTGCCGAGATGCCAAACGGCATCGCGTTCGCCCTCCCTCTCCCCCCGCTCGCTCTGGCTCACCCTTCTCGCTGTCTTTGTCTGTCTGTTTGTCTGTCGTTGTCTCGTTTGCTGCTTTACGTAGGCACATCTTGATTTTCGTTGTTGTTGTTGTTGTTGTTGGTGCTGCTGCTGTTGTTGTTGTTGTTGTCTTTTACACGCATTCATTAAAAATAAGTTAACAACTTTTTAACACCTAACTGGGCGGCAGACAGTTGAATAAATGAATTATGCTGACGAATGGCGAATGCTGTGTGTGAGAGAGACAGACAGAGGCAGAAAGACAGACAGACTGAGAGGGGCTGAAGAGGTAGCTCAACTGCTGTAGGCAACGTCGTAGGCAGCCCCACCGTCCGGTCTTTCAAAGGGGGCCAGCAGCCGCAGCCGCAGCCGCAGCAGCAGCGCTTGTTAATCAGCTAAATTAAATGCGAAATGAACAAAACGAATTGGTAGTTAGTAGTAGGTCCCCCCTACCGCACCCCCTTGCGGTCCCACGAAGACGAAAAAAAAAAAACGTGCGTGGTTTTTGATGTTTGATTAGCCCAATCTGTTGGCGGCGGCGCCGTCGCTTGCCGCACTTACCTCTAGCCAAAAAGAAGGCTAAAAGAGAACAGCTAAAATTTGGTGTGCGTGCGTGTGTGTGTGTGTGTGTATGCGTTGGATTTTCATTCATTAAAAAAAATCATGTTTAGTGTGTTGGTGGGATTTGCCGTTGAACGAATTTGTAGTCAATCGAAAGGTGGCTACAACTCCACTACTACGCTATAGTGTCTGTATATACATATGTATGTATGTATGTATAACGACTAAATTATGCTGAGCTTTTAATTAGCACTCGGTAAACTCTATTTGGAGTGGGCGCTATGTTGGCCCATTGATAGATATTTGTTGCTGTTGCTGTTGCTTAAGTTTATGTCTTATGTTGGCCCATTGCACTGGGCATAAACATTTAATGAGCTGAGCCAAGTCCAGACAAATTATTTGATTTGTACAACCTATTTTTCTATAATTAGCTTTACGTAAATGTCGTGGGATTTGGATGAAATTTTATGCAACCAAAGGCGGCGCTGCAATATGCAGCATCGCATAGCATTTTCGGAAATTGTTTCAAATATCACAGAGTGAACCTAATTTTAAATTTCTAGCATTATGTCCACGACATGCGATTTGATTTAGATTTTCTACACCTAACAGGGCCTACAATTTATGTAGTTTTGCCAACAAAAATCTTGGAATATTAAAATATATTAAGAGGTTACATTCATTTAAGGATATGAATTTTAGTTGAACAACGATCGAGCTGTATAGTAATTTAGTTATAATTCAATTAAGCTCAATTTTAATTTCTGAGTTGAATTATGTTGAATTTGATTATTATAAAAGAATAGATATTGTTTGAATTATGCTGATTTGAAGGTTTAAGCTATGGTCAAACGACAACAGATTTTGATGGGAGCTGACAAAAATTAAAGAGTCCAATCAACTAGATGAAATGCAAACATAATTTTTAGAGTTATAAAATTGTTTCCCCGGCCTCTATCAAAATTGTTTGTAATAATTGCAAATGAGTTTTAACATGAAGAATAACATGAACAATGCCGACGGACGGCAATTGCTATGCATTTTTGCATTGTAAGACGAGAAACGGCTCAAAGTCGTTGCAATAAAAACCGCAAACAGTTTTTAATTGAAAAACAGAAGAAGCAAACAACACAGAGAGAGGAGGGAAGAGAAAGAGAGAGCGAGATGGGGCGCGTGGGCAAAACAAAAGGAAAATGAGAGAATCTTTATATAAAAACAGGAAATGCGGCTAATCAAGCGTAAGAATCGTAACAGCAGCCAGGGCCAACAAAACTGGGTCTGATCCATAAAAATATACATAAATATATACAAATAAATAAATATATATATAGAGAGAGAGATCTATATATATCTATATATGGTATATTGTATATTGTGTGTGAGCTGCTAAGCAGCTTAGCCCATGACAAAGGCCCAAACATTGAGGACGCCTCGGTGTCTGGGCCTAGCAGGCAGCGGGCAGGCAGCAAACAGTCGGAAGGGAATTCCCATTTTCCGGATTAGCAGGCGGGCATAAAAAATTGTGAAAAACCCAAAGGAGCGAGCACGCTGCCGGCTTAAGGGTGCGAGCCGGCCATCACTACCTGCTGTCCAGCGGAAAACCCGAAAGCCGACCAAAAAACATACATGTTTATGGCCAGCTGACGGACGGGGCGTATGCGCAATGTTAGATTGCCTACGAGTTAGCCTGACGACTATATTCGATATTATGTGATATTATATATGATAAGATGGTTTTATACATGGACTTGGCTTGGATATGATCTAACTTGGGTATATTCGATTCGAGGTGATGTGATACGATACGATACTATGTATGATGGTTATACTTGGACTTACCTGCTGGTCTATTGGAGCGCCTCGCCGTATCGGCCTCCTCGAACATTAAGGGGGCGTGGCGTCGCGCCTGCACCGGCTGGAGCCAACAGCTGTTGAGGCTGGCAACGCAGACGAGCAAAGCGAGCAGCAGCAGGTGTTGCAATCTTCTCTGATAATAATATGTGGCGTTGTTTGTGTTGCTGTTGTTGCTGCTGCTGCTGCTGCTGTTGTTGCAGTTGCTGTTGCTGTTGCTGCTGGTGTTGCAACAGTTGCTGCAACTAATGTTGGCATGCCTCTCCAGCGTTTGGACCGTGCCTGTGGCCGTGGCCAAGGCCGTCGCAATATTCGTTTGATTGTTGTTCATTTTCGTAGATTTTTTATACTTTAGTTTCCTTCGCTTCTTCTTCTTCTATTCAAGTTACAAAAAAAAAAACTTTTGTTTCACACACACTTTTCTTACTTCAATTTTGTTTTTAAGGTTGTCAAATAAACGTAAACAGAAAAAAAAAACTTTTAATATATATAAAGACCGACCGTACCGATTTTTCTTTTACATATATATATATATATATAGATATATACTTTATTTGAATGCCGTTTTTTTATTCTTTTTTGTTTTATAGATTAGATAACACACGCGTTTTTCTTGTTGTTGTTGCAAATTTGTTGCAAACACCTAGTTTAGGTTAAGGTTTTAATGTGTTTCGTTAGCTTCTTATTTTGCCTTGATTTTAATTTTGATTTTGATTTTGATTCGAATGTAATTTTAAGCAAATTGATTTTTTCGCACAGTTTTTGCAATGAAAATTTGGTGATTGCAATTGAAATTGACTCAAGCTCTGTTTTTGAACATTTTCGTTGCCCAAAAACAAATACAGGCGATGAACAACAAAAAGGAGAGAAAAGAGTTGTTGCTTCAATTTGTTGCTTGATTGTTGCTAGGTTGTGTTGTTAATGTGTTGCTTGTGTTGCTGTTGTCGGCGAGTCGGCGAGTTTTTATCTACTAGATAGCTCACGGGGCGCACACGCCGTGTATATGGGCTCTGGCTGCTGCGCCGCTGCTGGCTCGCTGCGAGACTCTGTGTATGTGTGTGCGATGACGACGACGACGTACGTGCGTGTGTGTGTGTGTGTCGGTGTGTGTTTGTGTATGTTGTGCGGTTACGATCGTTTCAGAAAATAATGTCCACACGGTATCGGTCGGTGGAATAAATAAACTAAAACCCAACGAGCGCAAACGATGACAGCAGCGACTGCGACAGCGACAGCGACGCTGGCAGCGGCAGAGCGCCGAGAGTGCACGATCTGAGAGCGAGCGCAGGCGAGAGCGAGCGAGAGAGAGCGAGAGCGACGTGCGCATAAGCAGCGCAGACAGGCAGGCAGGCACGCAGCCGATGAGTTGAGTGCAAAGAACGAGAGCGCGCCTGAGAGAGAGTTGCGCACCGTGAGAGAGAGCAACAAAGTTGCTGCTGCTGCTGCTGTCGTCGTCGTCGCCTTTGGAGGTTGTTGTTGCTGTCGTGATTCGTATTTGCGCATTCGTGCGGCGCTCGGCTGTTGTCGTCGTGTTTGCTGCTAGCGGTTTGGCAGCAGCAGCAGCGCAATTTTCTTTTGCTGCTGTTCTTGTTGTTGTTGTTGTTGTTGCTATTGTTTGCAATGCCTGCGCCTTGCTGCTGCTGCTGCTGAGTCGCGTGTCGCCGAGATGTTTGCCCGATGACGAACGATGCAAAGTTGAATGAGCGCCGCAGCGCTGCCAGCCCAGCAACAGCAACAGCAGCGCATGCGTGCGTGCCTGTTGGCTGGCTGGCTGGCATATCCCACTCCTTCCCCCCGCTACGCAACATGTAGCCAAAGCATTGAGCTGCAGCAACATGCTGCCAGCCGCTCGCCCCGCTTGAGCAATCAACCACCTGACCGACCGACTGGCTACCTACCTATCTACCTAGCGGCTGCTTGTGCAAATTGCGTTGACTGCGCGTGGGCGTGAGCGAGGGAAGGCGAACATAATGTGGGCTGCGGCCATGCCCAGCGCAGCGGCAGGGAGACTGGCTGCATTGCGCATCCTTTTTGAGCCAATCGCAGGCTAGCAACATTTGCCGAACAGCAGCAAAAAAAAATCGGAAAAAACGAATAAAGGGATGTGGGAGAGGGAGAATTGCGCACCTACGCCTTCCCGTAAACATTACTCTCCCTATGTGTGCGAGTGTGAGTGAGAGTGTCTATGCTTAGTTATTATGATAAGATTAGTTAGTATAATACAGCGCAATAGAGAGAGAGAGAGAGAGAGGGAGAGATAGAGAAACCTCGAGAGAGAGAGCGAGAGTGGGGGAATAATTTCTCTTGCTGTTTTGTTTTGTTTTTGGTCTAAGATCTAGGCTCGATAGACCGATCACCCGCTTACCCGCTTACCCGATTACCCAGTTAGCTATTTAGTTTGTTTACCTTTTTGCTGCTATCATATTACGAGGGTCGGGGCTTCGTATCATATCTATAACATTATATATATATGTATGTACTATATATGGAGCATTCATTAGTTGATATAGTTGCTGCATGCAGTATTACTCAGCTATAGTGAACATTCTGCGCAGTTTATGATACTTAAATACAAATAAATATTAATAATCCAAAATTAATTGGTTTGAATTTGTATAATTTCACATATATTTCATCTTCAAGTGTTTCGCAAATGAAAAACAATTTCGAAAATGGCAAAAATGCTTGAAAATATAAATCTATAGCGAGAACTTAAGGAATTTAAAATGTTTTTTGTATTTCATTATTTTCCTATATAAATTATGAATTTGTCTAGAATCTTGAACAAGAAAATCCAAATACATAATTTTTGTTATATGTATTTATATTTAATATAGGTAATTATAATAATTTTTAGTTAATAAATTTATTCCATTTTATATGCATATCAGTTAATTGTCTATAAAGATCATTAATAATTTTGAATCACTTGTATTTTAGAACCAAGACTTAATCAAGTCTATGACAAAACTGAAACTTAGAGCAATTCCAATTCGCTATGAGTAATATTTGCTCTATTTGAATTGGAAAATAAAACAGGTCCATTCACATATGTAGATGTATATATATCTCGTATTATTATTCATTTATCCATATTGCTGTTTGCTTCAAATTTTTCAATAAAATATTTGTATATTTAATTTTCTTTTCTAAAAGTTTCGAATTTGCAATTGCATTTGGTTTGTTCTAGAGGAAGGAGCTCTGCTTCATTGGCTCTGCTACTGACTGCGACGCTGGCTGCGACGTCAGCGTTGACGTTGCTAGCTAAAACTACATAAATCAAAGGAAAAGCATTTTTCTTTGCCATTTGGCGGGCGTCTAGAAAGCTTTTCCCACTTTTGTTGTTGTTCTTGTTGATTGTTGATTGCTGTTTGTTGTTGTAGTTGTTGTTGTTGCTTTTGTATTAGCATTTTGTACGCATGTTTCAGACATTTTAACATTTCTTTTCATATAGACAAGAGACAGATATCGCACTTATACAAACATGTGAATATATATACACAGATATGTATATATGTATATATATAACTACGCCGATTTATATTGTTTTTTTTTTTTTTTTCTTTTGCGGCGGGCCGTGAGGCCAAAACATTTATAGGAATATTTCAAATCGCAGACACAACGCTGACGCCGACGCCGACGTCGCTGCTGCTGCGAGCAGCGCATTAAATGAGGCTGACAACAAAAACAAGAACAAACAATAACTGAAAATTTCTCACATTCAAAAACAACGAAAAAACGTTCACCAAAAATTTTATGAAATGGAAATACGGCATACAAACAGAAAAATACTACGAAAAAGTGCGTGAATATATTTGATCGACACTGAAATACCCTATCTATACTATAGTGGATATAAAAATTGCAATTGAATTGTGACGTGAACAGTTAGTGCGAGCAATTGAGTTTCCTCTTTATAACAATCAATCATATCAATTATATACATATGCATGTGTGTAGGAGTATATGACCATTTGACAAATATGTCAAATGTAAGAAATAGAGTATAGATCTCCGTTTTGTTTAATTATGTTTTTTGCTACAGCCAACTGAGCTACATTAAATAACTCTATAACTGTGCTAAGAGTCGAAAGTTGTTCCTTAACTTCATAAAGACTTGAGTTTCATGCGAACTTAGCAAAGAATATCATGTTGTAGCATGCCGATTATTCTGATTTTATAATATATTATAGTTAAAGCATAAAGATATAACTATACCATATTTCAGCTCAGTAAGTTCACTAAGTTTCGAGTTCCTTGAGTACACCTTCTTCATTTTTTGTTTCATGAACTGAATGCTTTAACGTATTGGAACAGAATTTGTTAGGGTATCTGTAGACTATGTCTGGCTGTTGCCATCTGCCTATTTTCGTGCATATTATTTCATAATTTTACTCTGCATTCCGTTCGAGTTCTTTTTTCTGTTTTTTATTTCTGTTTATTTATTTATTTAGTTGTCAACTTTTTGTGGGTTTATTTTGTATTTTTATTAGTGCTTCAACTATTTTAATTTGTTTTATTTTTGCTTTAAGAGTGACAGAAATGATTGTTAACGATATCGCAAGATTTTATGGCCCAACGCCTGGCGCTACAGGCGGGAAATAAATTTGTTGTTGTTGATAATGAAATTGACATGGGAATTGAAGAAATAAAAGCTAAGTAAATGCCATCAGTGGCCCTCTCTCTGTCTCTGTCTCTGACTCTGTCTTTGTCTCTTTCTTCCTCGGTGCCTGCTCGTCACTCGTCAGCTTTTGCATATTTTTCTTTCGAAATACGCGCACAAATATTTTCCATTATTTATTACTAATACTTAATATATTTGCGAACATTTTGTTTTAATTGCGCTCACACGTGCCCCATCCCCACGGCAACCGCCCCCGCGCCCACCAGCTCCGACATCCAAATATCCAACAGTTAAATAAACTACAAGACACAACAAAAAGTCAGCTTTAAAATGATATATCGACGGCCATAAAGGGATTTGTCGCCAGCCCCCGAGACAAACATCGAAATGACAACAACAACAACAACAAGACAAGACAAGACAAGTAACATCATTGCAGCAGGGCACAGCCGACTGAATAATACCCGCTCAAGGCTCCAGCAAATATTTGGATCTCGCTCTCTATAGTGGTGTTTTATCCCCCCTAATTCCAAGTCTGTAGATTCTAGTTCGGAAAACTTTACACTGACAAAAATAATATATTATATATCATATGCCAATTATTTGCATTACCTTGGCAGCAAACAAATATACTCGTTTCGTTTCACCTCATGAACGAGCAACCCAAAAAAAATATAAAGAAGAAAATCTAAGGAAAAGTCAAACAAGAATTTTTCTTTAATATTTCTTTCAAGAGCGAAAGCGTTTCGTGT